GTAAAATTACTGTGGGCGGGACGCAAGTATTTTTTTAAAAAAGGGGATTTGCTGGCCTAGAGTTCCACCTTAAAGCGAGATAAACAAAAACAAAACATTCTGGGTGCACACAGGGTCCCGATTCATGCCGCAACGCCAGGCCTGAAATCGGTCCGACGATTGAAATTAGCCACGTGCTGACGTTTTTGCGTTCGCCTGCGTGCAGAGAACCTGAAAGCGAGCCGAGGCGCAGAGGAGTGATTGACGGGCAGAAAGTAAATCCGCAGATAGGGGAAGACACTGCGAGGTGAGGGAGAGATTGCCAGATACCAGCTGCAGAACTCATGAATATAAAACGCTCTCCTGACAATCAAATTATTACCCAGAAAATCAGCCCCAAATATATTCAGAATCATTCCTCACCCGAGATGACAACTGATTTCCCCGAGAAGTCGTTATTATTCCGGCGTGGTGCCGCACACATGCTTTCTGCAGGCGGGCGCGGGGCTCGGCTAATTCCAAATGCATTAAAATACCGGAGGGAAGGGCCCGCCGGATTCATCAACTGACTGAAGACAAACAGCCCAAGGAGCGCCGGCTGCTGAACAACTACAAGCTCCAGCATGCCACAGCAGCAATACAAGAATATCCGGGGCCGAGGTACAGACCCCCCCCCCCCCCCCAAAGGTTCCGTATCTGATTGTTTCCTATGGAAGCTTTACATTTCCTCTACTGGATCATTTATTTGGGGAAAAAATACTGGATTAGTTTATTTGCAATGCAATATCTATTTTGCATGTGTACACCCCCCCCCCCAGTCTCCACACCCCACAAGGCTCAGCTACCCCCACCCTACCTATTCTATGCTCTCTCCCCCTCCCTCCTAGTCTCCGCTTCCTCTCCAACCCCCCCCCCCCCCCCCCCGGGCTCAGCTACTACCCCCACCCTATTCTCCGCTTTCCCCCCCCCTCCACCTAGTCTACGCTTCCTTCCCCCTACCACTCATCGCTTCCTCCTACCCCCCCCCCCCCCCCCACCAGTCTCACCTTCCTCACCCCCCATACCAGTCTCCCGCTTTCTCCCCCCCTCCATACCAGTCTCCGTCCGCTTCCTCTCCCCACCTACCAGTATAAGCTCCCCCCCACCAGTCTCCACTTCCTTCCCCCCCATGAGTCTCTACTTCTTTCCCCCCTCTATGAGTCTCCACTTCCTCCCCCCCCCCCCCCCCACCAGTCTCAGCTTCTTCCCCCCCATACAAGTCTCTGCTCCCCCCCCCCCATACTAGTCTCCGCTTTCTCCCCACCTCCATACCAATCTCTGCTTCCTGTCCCCACCTACCAGTCTAAGCTTCCTCCCCCCCAAACCAGTCTTTGCTGCCTTCCCCCCATATCAGTCTCCGCTTCCTTCCCCCGCTCCCCAAAAGTCTCTGCTTCCTTCCCCCCCTACCAGTCTCCTCTCCCCCCCTCAGCCCCCACCTAGTCTGTGCTCCCCCCCCCCCCCCCCAAATTGACCCTGCCATGGCAGTCCATCTAATGCAGCTTCCTCTGATGGGGTGAAAACAATGCTGCACAACTCCTGAATTCACTGCAGAGTTGTCACTCCCATGTAGGCTGTGCCTGTGTGCACTACAGTGGGAGGAGACAATGTTGCAAGGGGTGTGGCTATCAGAATTGTCACTGACTCACACAAGCCTGTAGCTTGTCACTCATCACCTGGCCACACCCAGTCCCGCCCAACGAGGCAAAGGACCCCGCATTCCCTATATCCGGTCTCCCCGGACCCCGCGCAATCACTATATCCGCTCTCCCCGGACCCCGCATTCACTACATCCGCTCTCCCCGGACCCCGCATTCCCTATATCCCCTCTCCCCGGACCCCGCAATCACTATATCCCCTCTCCCCGGACCCCGCAATCACTATATCCCCTCTCCCCGGACCCCGCATTCACTGTATCCGCTGTCCCCCGGACCCCACATTCACGGTATCCTACTCTCCCCCGGACCCCGCATTCACGGTATCCGCTCTCACCGGACCCCGCATTCACGGTATCTGCTCTCCCCCGGACCCCGCATTCACTATATCCTCTCTCCCCCGGACCCCGCATTCACTATATCCGCTCTCCCCGGACCCCGCATTCACTATAATCCGCTCTCCCCGGACCCCGCATTCACTATATCCGCTCTCCCCGGACCCCGCATTCACTATATCCGCTCTCCCCGGACCCCGCATTCACTATATCCGCTCTCCCCGGACCCCGCATCACTGTATCCGCTCTCCCCGGACCCCGCCCTACTATCCGCTCTCTCCCAGGACCCCGCATTCACTATATCCGCACTCTCCCTGGACCCCGCATTCACTATATCCGCTCTCCCCGGACCCCGGGGACAGTAGAAGAAGTGGAGGATCGGAGAAGGCAGGATCAAACATCCTTTACACCATGCAGAGGATTAGGTCCCACACCGAGTATAATCAGCATGCTTTCCTGCATCTACAGACGGATTGTACTGTTGTGGGTTCAGTAACACTTTAAGAGGAAGTTCTGCTGACAGAACGGATGTTAAGGGACCCCGGAGGTGTCTTAAGTAATGAAAGCCGTCAAGCATGCCAATTGGTGGAGAATGCTGGAACTTCGAATCGGATTCCTACACTAAAAACACGGAGCTGGGCACTGCAGTCTGCTTCTTGGTTTCTTCGTGACAATAATTCAGTTTAATGCGATGGAGAAGATTTCACTGCTGGACCCATGTGTCCTCCTCTGCCAAGCTTCTCATAAAAATAATCAGCGCTAAGGGGGTGGAAGTCATTCTTGCATGTCTGTATGTGTTCCGGAACATGGCCTGTGGTCAGCCACGGAGCTCGGAGGACGAGGGGGCATCTGCTCCTAGATTCCACGGCACGGCAACACCACAACCATAAAATACACGGAGAGCAGAGATGGAGGGAGCAACCAGGCATGCTGGGGGTACACGTCGGGGGTCACTCCGCACAGGAATATTCCTTTTATTCCCGTAACCGTTAAGAACTGAATTTCTAGGCCCAGCAGTGGCCCTTACTGAAGAGGGTAACAACTGGAGTCCCTGCCTGAAAGCAGAGCCAAGATACCAGCTAGGTGCCTCCTGCAGGCCCCAGCCACCACCAACACAAACCACCGCCGGCCAATGACCACGGACATCCAGAAGCTGAAAGGTTCATCTCCCAGGCCTCTGATAGTTCTACAGATCCCAGCATAGGAGCGCGCAGGGAAAGCACACTAGTCGCGTCCCCTAGACCTTCCGGCAAAGCCGGCGCCCCCTGCGCCTTAAAAAGTAGAAGCTGCATATGTACTCAGTACTTGGTTTGGGCCCCTTTTGCAGCAATTACTGCCTCAATGCGGCGTGGCATGGAAGCTATCAGCCTGTGGCACTGCTGAGGTGTTATGGAAGACCAGGATGCTTCAATAGTGGCCTTCAGCTCTTCTGCATTGTTCGGTCTCATGTCTCTCATCTTTCTCTTGGCAATGCCCCATAGATTCTCTATGGGGTTCAGGTCAGGCGAGTTTGCTGGCCAATCAAGCACAGTAATCCCACGGTCATTGATCCAGGTTTCGGTGCTTTTGGCAGTGTGGGCGGAGCCAAGTCCTGCTGGAAAATGAAGTCAGCGTCCCCATAAAGCTCATCTGTGGAAGGAAGCATGAAGTGCTCCAAAATCTCCTGGTAGACGGCTGCGCTGACCCTGGACTTAATGAAGCACAGAGGGCCAACACCAGCAGATGACATGGCTCCCCAAATCAACACAGACTGTGGAAACTTCACACTGGACTTCAAGCATCTTGCAGTGTGTGCCTCTCCATTCTTCCTCCATACTCGGGGTCCTTGGGCCTCTCCATTCTTCCTCCATACTCGGGGTCCTTGGGCCTCTCCATTCTACCTCCATACTCTGGGTCCTTGTGCCTCTCCACTCTTCCTCCATACTCGGGTCCTTGTGCCTCTCCACTCTTCCTCCACACTCGGGGTCCTTGGGCCTCTCCATTCTTCCTCCACACTCGGGGTCCTTGGGCCTCTCCATTCTTCCTCCACACTCGGGGTCCTTGGGCCTCTCCATTCTTCCTCCACACTCGGGGTCCTTGGGCCTCTCCATTCTTCCTCCACACTCGGGGTCCTTGGCCTCTCCATTCTTCCTCCACACTCGGGGTCCTTGGGCCTCTCCATTCTTCCTCCACACTCGGGGTCCTTGGGCCTCTCCATTCTTCCTCCACACTCGGGGTCCTTGGGCCTCTCCATTCTTCCTCCACACTCGGGGTCCTTGGGCCTCTCCATTCTTCCTCCACACTCGGGGTCCTTGGGCCTCTCCATTCTTCCTCCACACTCGGGGTCCTTGGGCCTCTCCATTCTTCCTCCATACTCGGGGTCCTTGGGCCTCTCCATTCTTCCTCCACACTCGGGGTCCTTGGGCCTCTCCATTCTTCCTCCATACTCGGGGTCCTTGGGCCTCTCCATTCTTCCTCCACACTCGGGTCTTGGGCCTCTCCATTCTTCTTTCACACTCGGGGTCCTTGGGCCTCTCCATTCTTCTTTCCACACTCGGGGTCCTTGGGCCTCTCCATTCTTCTTCACACTCGGGGTCCTTGGGCCTCTCCATTCTTCCGTCTGTGTGTGGTGGCTCTTGATGCACTGACTCCAGCCTCAGTCCACTCCTTGTGAAAGTCCCCAACACTTTTGAATGGCCTTTTCCTGACAATCCTCTCCAGGCTGCGGTCATCCCTGCTGCTTGTGCACCTTTTTCTTCCACACTTTTCCCTTCCACATAACTTTCTATTAATGTGCTTTGATACAGCACTTTGGGAACATCCAACTTCTTCTGCAATTCCCTTTTGAGGCTTTCCCTCCTTTTGGAGGGTGTCAGTGATGGTGTCAGGTCAGCAGTCTTTCCCATGATTGTGATTCCTACTGAACCAGACTGAGAGACCATTAAAGGCTCAGGAACCCTTTGCAGGTGTTAATGGTGAATGAACTGATTAGAGTGGGACACTTTGAGCCGAGATTATTCCACCTTTTCACAATATTCTCATTTTCTGAGATTGTGGATTTGGGGTTTTCATGAGCTGTAAGCCATAATCATCACAATGATGACAAATCACGGCTGGAACTATCTTGCTTTGCATGGAATGAGTCTCATATATTAGTTTCACCTTTTAAGTTGTATTACTGAAATAAATGAATGAATGCATCCAGATTCTAATTTTTCGAGTTTCACCTGCAATATAAAAAAATAAAATAAAAATGTAAAAAAAAAAAAAAAAAGTTTAAAAAAATTTATAGTTTTTGGTATAAACTAATTTGGGTTATTTTTTTTTTTTTTTTTTTCTAAAAAAGATAACTGAGTACATTTTTGGCCAAGATTTATGATGAAATATTATATATTTGCAAAATTTTATAAGAAAAACACACTTTTTTTTCAAACTTTTGGACTTTTTCATTTACATAGCAAAAAAAATAAAAATCCCAGAGGTGAATAAATACCACCAAAATAAAGACTGGAGGGGGGGGGGGGGGAACGGCGTCCGTCCGGACTGGAAGGGGGGGGGGGGGAGAAGGCGTCCGGACTGGAAGGGGGGGGGGGGGGGAAGAGTCCGGACTGGAAGGGGGGGGGGGGGAAGAGTCCGGACTGGAAGGGGGGGGGGGGGAAAGGAGGGGACTGGGAAGGGGAAGGGGGGGGGGGGGGGGGGAGTCAACGGACTGGAAGGGGGGGGGGGGGAAAAAGAGTCCGGACTGGAAGGGGGGGGGGGGAAAAACTAAAGAAAGGGGGGAAGGGGGGGGGGGGGGGGAAAGAGTCAGGGATGGAGGGGGGGGGGGGGGAAAGAGTCCGGACTGGAAGGGGGGGGGGGGGGGAAAAGGGGTCCGGACTGGAAGGGGGGGGGGGGGGGAAGCGGGGAAAGAAAAAAAAAGTCCGGACTGGAAGGGGGGGGGGGAAAGCGTCCGGACTGGAAGGGGGGGGGGGGGGGAAGCCGTCCGGACTGGAAGGGGGGGGGGGGGAGCGTCCGGACTGAAGGGGGGGGGGGGGAAAGGTCCGGACTGGACAAGGGGGGGGGGGGGAAGCGTCCGGACTGGAAGGGGGGGGGGGGTGGAAGCGTCCGGACTGGAAGGGGGGGGGGGGGAAGGCGTTCCGGACTGGAAGGGGGGGGGGGGGCGTTCCGGGTCCGTACTGGAAAAGGGGGGGGGGGGTGGAGTCCGGGACTGGAAGGGGGGGGGGATTTACAAAAGAGTCCGGACTGGAAGGGGGGGGGGACACACCTCCGGACTGGGGGGGGGGGGGGGGGGAGAGTCCGGACTGGAAGGGGGGGGGGGGGGCGTGCGGGAAGAAGTCCGGATGGAAGGGGGGGGGGGAAAGCCGTCCGGGACTGGAAGGGGGGGGGGGGGGAAGGAAAAGAGTCCGGACTGGAAGGGGGGGGGGGAAAGAGTCCGGACTGGTTTTGGGGAAGGGAAAAGAGTCCGGACTGGAAGGGGGGGGGGGGGGGGAAAGCGTCCGGACTGGACTGGAAGGGGGGGGGGGAAGCGAGTCGGACTGGAAGGGGGGGGGGGGGGAAAGCGTCCGGACTGGAAGGGGGGGGGGGAAGGGGGGGGGGAAGCGTCCGGACTGGAAGGGGGGGGGGGAAGCGAATCCGGACTGGAAGGGGTCCGGACTGGAAAGGGGGGGGGGGGGGAAGCGGTCCTGTCCGGAAAAAGACTGGAAGGGGGGGGGGAAAGCGTCCGGACTTGGAAGGGGGGGGGGGAAAAGCGTCCGGGGGACTGGAAGGGGGGGGGGGGAAAGCGTCCGGACTGGAAGGGGGGGGGGAAAGCGTCGGACTAAGGAAAGGGCGGGGGGGGTCCAAGCGTTCCGGAATGGAAGGGGGGGGGGGGGGGGAAAGCGTCCGGACTGGAAGGGGGGGGGGAAAATCGTCCGGACTGGAAGGGGGGGGGGGAAGCGTCCAGACTGGAAGGGGGGGGGGGGGGAAGCGTCCGGACTGGAAGGGGGGGGGGAAGCGTCCGGACTGGAAGGGGGGGGGGGGAAGCGTCCGGACTGGAAGGGGGGGAAAAGGTGGAAGTGGTTAAGCCTTTATACCCGGAGCAGTTTTTGTGGTTTTTTTTTTTCATAATCCACTGAAG